TGGTTAATTCCCATTTTATCCCTAAAACTACTGTTACGCCCTAATTCAAAATCTGTTCAAACTTCAGAATTATCTAAGAACCTAAAATTAAATTACCAGCTATAACCAATCTCTAATCCAGTTCAATCAACAAATTCAAACTTAAACGATGAACAACAAATCAACAATCGGAATTATTTTGACTGAACGATATTTTTAACAACACATATATTTCAGATTCAATAATATTAACAAATTGAACATAACAAATAAGTAGATTTGAATTTCTAAATTCAATAATCATTTGAACTTTAAACTAAATCCAACAACACTACAACCAAGATGAATATTCAAATTAAATCAAGAATTAAAACATACACATTAAATCACCGGATTAAGAACGAACTTCAAACAAAAGATGAACACGAATTTAATCTAAACTAATCAACAAAGATGGATGATTCAAGCGATTAAACTAACATATTTCTATATTACAACTAAATTCTTTTAAAACGAATAAAAACAAACCGAAGAAGAAATAATTATTTGAATTTCAACTTAAATCTAACAACATTAAAATTAAAATAACCATTTCTTTTTAAAAATTAAACTAAAATTAAACTAACAATTTCTTTCACATTAAAATTAAACTAACAATTTCAATTTGAATCTAACAACATTAAAATTAAACTAACAATTTTCTTTTTGAATCTAACAACATTAAAATTAAACTAACAATTTCTTTTTACAAAAAAAAACATATGAAACAAACTGAAAAGTAATTAATTAAATTTCAATTAAAAATTAAACCAATAAAACACATGAACAAAACAAGAATCAAACATTTATCGATTTTAGATCCGGGAATATCAAAACAAAAATACGGACAAAATAAAACTCAAACCCACTAACCGGCTCGAAGCGACGACGAACTCGAACGGAAACAAATCTCTCCGGAAACAATTATTGCACCAAAATCACTCGAATCTGCTTGGAAACTTAAACAATGGACGAAGCTCGATGGAGGGGTGTTTGACGATGACGTGAACTGAAGCAGCAGCAGCCCGCGAAGGAGAAGAAGAAGCAGGGACCAACAGTGAGGCGACCATGGCATCATCAACTCGACGGAGAAGAAGCAACGAGCTGGAGTTTGTGATCGCAGCCATGGCAGCGAGGAGAAACAGTGACGCTGTTTTTGCGTGCGACGGGCAGCAGTCCGCGAAGCTTGGAGAAAAAGAAGCAGCGACCAACAGGGAGAAGCTGAGACGCTGCCATGGCTGGGTGCGACGGGCAGCAGTCCGCGAAGGAGAAGAAGAAACATCGACCAACAATGACGCGACCATGGAAGCATCAACTCGACGGAGAAGAAGCAACGAGCTGGAGTTTGTGATCGCAACCATGGCAGCGAGGAGAAACAGTGACGCTGTTGTTACGTGTGACGGGCAGCAGTCCGCGAAGCTTGGAGAAAATGAAGCAACGACCAATAAGGAGAAGCTGAGACGCTGCCATGGCTGGGTGCGACGGGCAGCAGTCCTCGAAGGAGAAGAAGAAGCAGCGAGCAACGTGAACTTGAAGAAACAACCATGGATCTTGAAGTAGAAGCAACATCAACCACGATCTTGAAGAAGAAGAAGCACGGGCAGCAGCAATGGAGGTTGAAGAGTGGCCAGCAGCGATGTCGGACTGGGGTTCGAGGGGTGTTGACGATGAGGGCTGTGTGTGTGTATGTGTTGCTATGTGTGTGCGTTGCTGTGTCGAAGGTGAAAGGCTGCCATGGGAGGACGAAGAAGAAGAGGAAGCAAGCAGCCATGGGAGGAGGGTTTGGAGAAGAAGGAGAGGAAGAAGAAGAG